ACTCATAAGAAAGGGCTCTTATGCTAAAAATTAAAATTATCTTTGGGGTTTGAATCCCCTTTGTATACCACTGATGATAAGGCTTTCAAATTGTCTCTTCAGTCCGAAACCTAAATTATAAACAATAGACCGTTTGTAATAGAGCCACGAACAAGTTTGCAAACTTAATATGCTGTTCTCCATTAATCCATTTTCATTTTACATCATTTGAAACTCTATATTCCCATTGATTTTAGGATACACCGAATCCCATTAATTTCTCATACAATCTCTGAAGAAAGCAAATCTCGAACTTGTGCCATTGGTCACCAGTGTGACAATTCGATAATTATCGCTGGCATTTGTGTGTGTGTTTTTCAGAAAAAAAGGGGGTTGCATAACTTAAATTAATGAAAAATATCAAACAGGAAATTATATGACAATTTAAATTGAATTGAAACGAGGTATTTAAGTAAAATTTGATGAAAATTATACGGAATTACAAAAAACTCTACATGGAATTCAAAGCCATATATTAAATTAACGCAATTAAGAAAATTATAAAAGCAATGAACTAAAATAAAAAAATATATTTACAATTATCAAAAAGTTATGGCTCATAAAACATTTTCTTATAGAAAATTTTATAAAATGCGTTGTGTTCGTAACAATAAACTGTTAAAAAAACTATTGATGTTAGAGCTAAATCCTTTGTTCATTGTGTGCCTTTATTATAATTTAAATAACATGTATACAAAATAGAAAAGAAATACATTCATAAGCGAGGTTTATATGCTTATTGTAACTTCTCTATAACATTATTCTAGTTTGCTTAAGGTATCCGACTACGTTCGGAACCGTGATTTTAAAAAGGCGCATAAATGGATAATTTTCATGATATTTTGTGTCACTTAGATTAGAATACATGTATAAAATTGTTTTAAGGGCATTTTGACAAAAAAATTTATTTAAATACAATATATTTCGGCTAATAATTAACTTAGAATAAACTTTTTTCAAAATGTTCTCCTTTCGTGAAAAATGCTTCTATTATAATATTTTGCCTGTATATAGCTCAGACCACTGTACAGAGGCTTAACTATGATTTTTGAAAAATGCACATTATTTTCAGAGTTACAATCATTTGAAATAATTTTCGGCGTTTTTTTGTTAAAATTTTCCCCCTCTGTTGTCGTAAAACACGAATAAACCCACTTCTAAGTTATATATTTCAAAAATTCTAGTTGAGCCTCTGTACAAAGGTCTGAGCTATATACAGGAAAAATATTATTATAATAGAAGCATTTTTCACAAAGGGAGAACATTTTGAAAAAAGTTTCTTCCAAGTTCATTTTTAGCCGAAATATTGTACTTAAATAATTTTTTATTCTAATACTATTCTTAAAACAGTTTTATATACATTTTCTAATCTAAGTGACACTAAATATCATAAATATTATCTATTTATACGCTTTTGCAAAATCACGGTTCCGAACGTAGTCGGATACCTTAAAATTAAATTGAATCAGCATCTAGATATAATAATATCGCTTAAATCTCCGCTAAGCATGTTTCAAAAAGTTCCATCCATAGGCGCGTGGCAACTCTCAGATGCATCCCCTCATACTTACGTTTGAAGATGATTTCATCATTTTATTGGTGAGATTTGACACTAAAATATATTTGACGTAAAATAACACCTTAAATGTAATCAGAAATTGAAATATTTAAACGAAAAAAAATCAGAAAGATAATGGTTAGTTATCACTGCGTCATCACTGCTCGCATTTTAAGACGCCTTGTTGCAGTCTTCACAAATCGCCTTACTATGTTCGAGGCACATGGAGTTTTCGTATAATACGTAAAAAAATTTAATAACCTTTTCTTGATGTCCTGACAAGAGCGAACAGTACATTCTTTACCAAGTTCCTGGGGATGTTTCTCTTGGTTTTTCATCTTGAATGAGGTGTTGCATATCATTTATTTCATCAATCCCGAGTCAAAATGAACGAGTCATGTGAATGTTACACTTAGACCGTCTTCTGAAAACTACTCTATTCAACAAGAAACAAATTAAAATTAACAATTGTTGGGTGCGCTGCATCTATCAGAATCAATGCCCCCTGCCGCCCGAAATATGAAGAAATCACCCTCGTCCTTGACAATGAATCCTAGGGCAAGTGACGAAAGGCAGATAGAAGAAGGAAGGAAGTTTTGGGAAAAGGCCCCCTCGGGTGACCTTCTCTTTGATTATTCGCGTGAGCTAGAGGTGTATGATTTTCAAAAGGAACAGATATGTTTATATTCTTAATATGTCCTTATTAAGAATTATATATAACTTAAACTTTTAACAGATTAGATAATGGTTATATATGTGAGAATCACACACAACGATGAACAAACACACAATACAAGTAATACCGAATTAACCTTACTCGGACCACTATCAATATTTAACCCGCCTAATCTCAATTTCAATAATAACGCAAGTCCTAATATTAAACAGTCAATCCTACCTTAATCCAATCGTAGCTCCAATTCTAGGGAGTTGCATCTTTACGCGAGTGTCGTGGTATGCACCTTGACCTAATGGCTTTATCTTCGGAATAACCTCCGTTGGCCGTCCTTTCACAATAGTACCACAATCTCTCACATAACATTCCCCAAATTGCCCTTTCACTTACTGAAACTTTTGTTATTTAAAAGCTATCTAATTTGCAGTTAATCTTCACGTTTCACTTCTTGGGTTTTGGTTGGAAGAAGAGTTGCCATTAATCTTGGCCCCAAAAGGTACCCAAAGGACATGTTAAAGAAAAGACGCGTGAGCCCGTCACAGTTTCTAAACCACAGTGAGGACACTGCACTGACACTATATTTATTACGCATCTGAGAGACTCACGCGCCTAACGGAGAGTTATTTATAATTAATGACATTCTATAGAATTGATATGTTTTAGCTACGGACAATGACTCATCCATTTTGAAATCCTTTTAATCTGCGTTGTCTAAGCGGAAACGAGAAATTTTATGCGTTGACTCATTTTTTCTTTAATCACTGCAATAGGTATGAAAACAAGAGCTTTTCTCATAAATAACAGCATTTATACCATATATGATCAATACAGAAATATCAAAAATATAACATAATAAAAGTAATTGAATAACAGTGTATGCGTTGACGTCAATTAGTGGGTGTCACGTGGCCATGGAATGTTAATCGATGTGCGTGGACTTCCAGGTTTTGCCATCATAACAACTTAAAGCAAAATAAAATTTGATGAATTTATATGAAATACAATTCATTTATAATGCGGTCAGATTATATAAATGCATAATTATAATAAGTTGAATGATATTCTATAAAAACAACAAATTTTTTCAGAAAAGGCGTATCTTTTTCCTTCTTTCTATAAAATTTTTTCAAACTCTATCACAAAACTTTCCATCCAATCATTTTTTTTTTGTGTGTGCCCACGGTTGACTAGTGGTCAAAGACATGAACTCGTGGCCGGCGCTGTCAAGTCCTCATGCCCCTGTTCCTCAATGTAAAGGGACGGTGTATGTTAAATCTGTCAAGCCTCTCAAAGTCCTCTCGTTGACGTGATGCTGTAGTTTGGAGAAGGGTTGTCAGAGCAGGTGTCGTCCTTATCACTTAACCATGTTTCAAATTAATTAATTTATAATTAACCCAAATCTCAACATTAGAAATATTTTTGAAGTTTTTTTTTCTCTATATGCTTTTTTGAGTGAAAAATATGCCTTATGTCTTAACCCTGGCGTACTCAACCTTTTATCCTGCCGGGCTGCATACACATGAAAGATATTTCACGGGGGCCGCAACGTGCGGATAATGGAAAAAACATACTATAAAACTAACGCAACATTGGACAAAGCAAAATTGATCAAAATATTAAAACTCATTTTCGGCTTTTATTTTAATGCCATATTAACACTTTTCGATCAAACATACACATAAAAATATTTATTTTTATGCATTTTTACGGTTATGGGATAATTTATATTTCCTTTCATCAAAAAACCCCTTTCTTATATTCTACTCTTAAAAAACAAAATTTAATTTGATTTTTGTAGATAGAATTTCCGCAAATTTTAGCTCATTGTACCAGTAATTTAATTTCTTTGCAATGGGCCTGAATCCCCGCTATGCCGGCGGGCCCGGTTGAGTATCACTCTTTTTAACCCCTTTGCCAAGGGGGTTTAAAAATCAAAGGCAAATTTGGGCCAAGCAAACAGGGTTTAATTTTAGGTGGGCCGCAAAAAAAATCAATATTCAGAGAAGCATAGGTTTATTTTGAATTATATATATTATAATAAACATAAATAAAAAGAACAAGAAAAATTTAATGTTCAAGTTCTGACACTTGAAATCTCTTCTCTGCAACTGTCTTTCTTAATGTTGAATTTTTTTTTATCTTATTATGTATTATTGAATTCCCATATAGTGGCCGGGCTGCAAAAATGTTCGCAGTAGGCCGCGAGTTTGTAAACTCTGATGTGTACGGGATAACATTTGATCATGATCCTACAGATGTTGAGTAGAGAAATAGACGAGGCCCTCATCAAAATTGAGGCCTTGGGCCCGGACCCAGTTTGCCCATTGCCGTAGACGTCCCTGCTTAAAGCCCACTCTTATGTACTCCTCTAAATGCAAGATATTAAAATTCAAATTAAAGAAATAAATTCATTGTTATTCTTCATGGAAAACAAATGAATTCACAAACAAGTAATATAAAAAAAAAATTAAGTCATTTCCTACTTAGGTCAACAAAGAAAAGTTTTATTTTGATTACTTTTTGTTAAATAGTTACAATTAGTATAAATATGTATATACATATGACAGAATCACACAATTAAGTGACAAAACAGAAAGCGATTTTCCATTCTATATAGGGTGTGGGACTATTTTTTTGTTTGTTTGTTAATATTTATTCATTCATTAAATTTAATTATTCTAATAAAATTGCATAGTAAAAAAGAAATCACATTCTCAGAAATTAGGCCTCCCCAGGTGGATTCGAAACCACGACCTGTGGATTTGAAGTCCAACGCGCTACCCATAGCACTACAGGGATACAACGAACGATTTTCCTTTCTATATATGCTGTTGGACTATTATTTTTGTTTGTTATATTTATTCATTTTTTAATTAAATTAATGAATTAACATGTGAAAAAACTGTATCAACAGTTTAAGAGAAAATGTATTTGATCTTGAATGGATGAATAGGAAGTATTTTATTAACAATTGAAAATTTGAACAAGATATATAGAAAAATAAATACATATATAGGGAGAGAGCGAACTAATAGTAGGAATTGAAAAAATGGAAAAGCACGAAGCTTTTAAAGTTTACTGTTTATCAAGCAGATCATTAACATCTCTTAATCCCAGACGCCGCAGGCCATGCAAGAGGCGATAAAGCGCGAAGCGATTGCAACCTTGAACAGCAAATCGCCAGCTAAGCGAGTTCAAACGCTGACGTCAAACGAGCGCTGACGACACCGGGTCTGACACCGCTTTGGTATTGGTTTACAAAAGAAAATTGTTTTTGCTACAGTGGAAGATGAACTGATTGTGTGTGTTTTTTACCTGAGGGAGTTTGTGGGCCGTGTTTGTGAAAAGATGTTGTATAAGGAAATGTAGCGTGGATCAGATTCCGGGATAATTATAGATATATCCTTTATTGCACAACGAGTGCCAATAGATGTTTTTTTCTCCCTTTTTACTACTGTTAGGAATAGTTATATCCACTTGAAAAGTATGCTTTTGGTTTTTAATCATTAAATTGAAGTATTGTTGAGTTTAAATTTGATTCTGATAAGGGAGTTCAATTCTCTCTCTATATATTAATAATAAAAATAAAATTAAATTAAAAAGTAAACTCTTATAATATTACTAAACTAAGCGATAGCCTAGTGGTCAAGGTAACGGATCTGTGGCAGGCGTGTCAAGAGTTCAAGCCTAATATCGCTGAAGACCCGCCGTGCAGAAGGGGCTGATGCACGTAAAATCTGTCGAGAGCTCAAACGTCCTCCCGTTAGTGTGATGTGGCAGTTAGAAGCTCAGGTGTCGTCCTCGTAACTTACGATTCAAAATCCTGCAACATCGTATGGTGGAACATTCAAATGTTAACTAATAAACTCTAAATTTTTATATATCCTTTTCCATGTGGGTGAGTGAGCGAGTGAATATTAACGTCGCACTATTCAGCTACTCGAGGGCTTTTGGCGACAGACCTCGTAATTTGAAACCTGATGAAGTGACGAGAATGATACCCGAGCTAGAACCCCATCTCCTAACTACCACACCATACCAATGGGAAGACGTTTGAGCTCTCGACAGATTTTGCGTGCATTGACGCCATCTGCACGGCGGGTCTTTAGCGGTACTAGGCTTTAACTCATGACACGCTAACCACGAGTCCGTCACTTTGACCACTGAGCTACCGCGGCCACATCACATACATGGTGCTCAAAGCTACGGTTAACGACAGGCGTACATTCAGCCCTTTGCCACGATGAATCTCGCGGGCCTCCATCTGACACCGTTAGACAGGTGACCTTAGCAGCAACAACAACGATAATGAAAGTTAAATAAATTACTACACACACACACACAGCTACAAATAACATCTTGAAGAGAAAAAACGGATCGCAGTACAATTATGCTATTAATCTTCTGTAGAAATTTTAGAGGAAAAATTCGGCTTTTAAAATAGAAAGTTAAGTATTTTTTTAAAAATACATATAGCACTCTGTTAGCAATAAATAACAAGCATAAACATAAATTAATTGTAAATTTCGAAAATGTGATTTGAACACATTTGAAGTAATAAAATATTGTGAATTCGTTATCCATCTGTCTTACGAGAGAAAGAATTCTCAGGGGGTCTCCTAACCCCTGGCCGTGGACCGGTACCAGTCCGTGGATCAAATGGTTCCAGACTGCCCAAGAAACATTTCCATTTTATTTACTGCTGTGCATTTACTTCTATTTTATTTACCGTAGTTGTGGACTGTACGATTTTCCATGTTAAATCACTTTATATTCCTTTTTGGTGTTAACTATTTTTTATTCTGAAGACATACAGTAGAACCTCTATATTGCGAATTTTTCTATATAGCGAACTTTTTCCTGGATTTTCTTCGTAAAATGACCTTCTATAGCGAAGTGCATTTTCTATACAACGAATTTTCTTTTGTGATTGAATTTTTGTTCTCCCTTTTTTTAAAGTATTTCTAAAAAAATTTCAAGTTATTCTCTCTTTAACACATTTTATGGTGGTCATAAATCTTGAACTGGTTTTATTAGATCCTAACTCGCCGAAAGCAATAGAATTCTGAACGTTTCATCCCAGAAATGCAACCTTTAACCCCCACTGTCCAGTTCACTAGAAACATCTTCGATATCCTCTTTCACCCTGAGTGGAGTTGTCCCGTGTCCTCGTGTTCTAATTATAAAATAATGCATGTCTAATATTACTTGTATGCTTTAAATTATAAAATGTCCTGAAAATTCATTAATTTTAGTATAAAATTATTTTCTTAATATTGAAAATACACAGTGAATTCTTCGACATCCTTTTTTCTTCTTTTCCTTGCAGTTTTTCTTTCTTTCTTTTTTTGATGGGTAAGATATATAAAACAAACTTATATTAAAATTTAAAAAAAGGTGTGAATAATTACTTTTTTTAATATATAGTGTTTATGAATTCAAAATTTGTTTTATGTAGTTTATAAAGTATATTAAAAGATGAACCTCTCTATTTTTAACGAATTTTCCACATAAAGAACTTTTTTCCGGGATTTAGCGACTTCGTTATATAGAGGTTCGACTGTATTTAAATACACTTAAATTAAAATAATTAAATCAAAACAATCTAAACTATAAACAATCAACATCCCTCTCCCCTTCAGCGGGCCGCTGTAAGTTATCTAACATTGACTAGTCTGCATGGATAAAAAGGTTGGACTGCCCTGGTCCGAAGTATGCATATTTGTACCCTGCATCAGTCGCTTCACAAGGAACTAGGTAGTAATAGTCAGAGTGACTACGCATGCGCTGGTTTTTCTTGCAATATCGATCGGAGTGGCATCTTGTTAATGGTAAAATTGTAACAAGCGAAAAGTTACTGGCTTTAGTACATTGTGTGCTAAATTTACTTATTTTAAAAGTACCAGGACATGCTCGAAAGAGTAAAATGCCAAAAATGAAACTCTTTGCTTATGGGACGTATACCTTTACAAATTTCCAATAGAAGTTAGATTTTTTGTGACCTTATTAAAGATATTTTAACCATTCTGTAGAAATATGAAAATAGTTTTTTTAGTTAAAAGGGATTTTTTTTCTGTTTAATTTAAGTTGGACATAATTTTTGAGATCTCATAACATATGCATATGTTTAGGTACCATTTTTTTTAAAAATTATCTCTTAAATGTGTAAAATATTTTTTGTACACATATAAAACAACACAAAAAATATAGTGAACCTAATTTTTTAGTAAAATATTAAGACAGTTTCTTTAAAAAATATGAAACTTTGTGTAATTTTGAAAATTTCTATTTTGTCCCCTTATTCATACATAAAACTATTTTTAAAAAAAACTATGTACTACTTTGACTAAAAAAAAATTTAAAAAAATAGAATCACTATATGCAAAGGGATTCTGTATAGACGTATACGAAATTTGGAACCATGTAGTACAATAGTTTTTTTTTCTTTAAGTCTACCTAAAAGCAAAAAATTATGTTTGGGAGAAAAAATGAAAAAACTAAACGTTTGCTTACATTTTTGTCAGTTACTTTTTCATATTTTAAGGTTATTTTATCAACGAACATACAAATGTAAAACATTTTATAGATTCAGAACAATATGCACAATTTTTTAATACTAAAATTGAAAATTTAATTTTTATAAATATGTATGATGTCCTGGTTCTCTTAAAATTAAGAGGGAACAGCATAGCATGAAACACGCACCGGTCTTCCTACAAATTCAATATCTTTCACAGCTTTAAAAAGAGTCGAGAAGAAAAAATAATAATTAAAAGGAAGGAAAATGATGTTAATTTTTTGGAAAATGTTCAAAAGACCTGACGTATTTCTTCCTGGTTAATCCTGAGTAAGAATTCCGATTGCGGAGAAAAAAGTTGAAAGTCAGGAGATAAAAGTAAGAGACCTTACTATGCGTTAAAAAATCTATTTAATTAAATTTTCTGTCATCCTATACCGCATAAAATTAATTTCACTCCATTGAATACTTTAAAATGATAGACTACATTAAAAACCGTGATTTTGAATAATTTTTATCTTTAAGTATCATTTGAATTAGAACGTACCAATAAAAATGTCTTAAGAGTATTACTACAAGAAAAAACTAAATACAACTTCTTAGCAAATAATGTAGAAAGAATGACATCTTTTCAAAACATTCTCCTTGCATGGAACATGCCTCTATAATAATTATATTTTCAATTCCTAACATTGGTTCACACTCTCCCTATATATATATACGTAAGGAAAATTCAATTAGATTAAAAATTAAATTCCCTATCCAGCACTTAACTTTTATTTTTCATTACATCTTCAAGTATCAAATTAATCACCCAATTATTTCTCCGAAACATATGCTTTCCACTAAACATTTCTGATTCCAGATCATTATATTTAATAGCCCTATATGTCAGAATTAACTTTCAAGTACACTCATAAATTTGCAATACTTCTATCTGTGTTTAAGTGGTAGCCCACTTAGTTTTCACTTCGGTGGGTTTTTTTCTCTCTCTGCCTGTTAGCGTCAGATGATGTCGAGAATTACTTGAATAAAGACCTTTTGAAAATTAAGCCCGATTCTGGCTCAAAACATGTCATATATATATTGTTCAAATTTTCAATTGTTAATAAAATACATTTTATTCACCAATTAAGTTGTTTAAATACAATTTTTAAAACTCGTAGTAGATGACATTTTGAGTTAAATAGGTTTTTTTCAAATATTAATTCATTAATTAAACATAATTAATGAATAAATAATAATAATAAAAAGGTTCAACACAATGTATAGTGTCTCCGT